TACCGTATGCATTGTATTCCTTTTTCAGTTCCGATGCTTTCGTCATCCTTTACATACATAATACTCTCTTTCATTTCTGCATTTCATGTCTCTCAGTTGATTTCTCATAGAGTTATGGCAAAAAACCATGCTGTTGCTTTTGCACACCAGTGTATCTTCCTTTTTTCCTCCTTATATTGCAGATTTCAGTATAGATATGAACACATTTTTTCTACTATTTTTTATAAATCAAAATTTATTGTAATATAAATCACATATCAAAAATTATTTAACAGTTTTTTTTTCTTTTAATATGCAGTTATATATGCAGTCCAGACAATTGCAATTTTGAATTTTATCTTAATTTGGTTAAGGTATATTTAATGGCGCCCCTTGGATTATCGCGAAGTAGTTGTTTTATTTATAGTAACCTGAGTAGTGGAATGTTACGGAAACTCTATTATGATGTGATTGGTAGCGTGATTGCGATGAATTTGACTTATTTGTTGGATGTCAGTCAGGCAGTACGTCGCAGTGTTGTGTACTGTACATAGCAGATGGCTGCCAGTGGTAAAGTGTATGTTTGGTGATAGAGAACAAGAGAGCAAAAGGGTCCCCCCCCCAAAGTGGTTGACGACAAAAGAAAAGTAACTTTGTTGGATATAATTCAGCGGAATTATCAGTGTTCTATTTGTACGAAGGAAATGTGTATGGTCAAACGTAAAGATCGTTCAGATGGCTTTGAATGGGTTTCTTGCAAGAAAGGTTCAAATGCTCACCATACACAATGTTCTATTAGAAAGGGGACATGGTTCGAGGAAAACGTTTGGATGCTGTTAAGTAATTTTGCATGCCACACACTGAAGACATGGAAATTTCTAAATAAGGTAAGTAGATATTTCCTTTGTGTAGTGCTTAGATGGTATAATATGAATTTACGTTTTTATGTTATTTTCATTGTTTGATTTCAAATGTAGTTTATTGAGATTATATATTTTTTGTTTGGCTCTAGGGCAGAATTGGATGTTTCTTTGACTTTTTAGGTGAAAATAGATCGATATGCACATGGACAGAGCCAAGACAGTGTGCAATGCCGAGATTGTGCAATTATCTGATTTTTTTTAAAGTGAAAATAGGTCGATGTGTACATGGGTATCAAGTTTGTGCAATTCTTGTTAGTTTGGCTTATTTTTATGTGCCAAAAATCACCACTACACAAAGGCAAAATAACAAGTTAAAGAATTGCACAAACTAGGTGTCCATGTACTGCCCAAAATCGCCAAGAGGCACCCATAAAAATATTTGGTACTTTTCCGTTTTGCCGGCGCAAGCGATAAAGTCGCCAATAATGGTACAACCGATGCCAAACGGAATGTTCTCGCTGGTAACCTTTTACGCCTCATTTTCAAAACAAGTCGCAGCTTTTTCTTATCAGATTGATTGTTTCTTTCAATACTGGCATATCATTACATATAATTTTTATCAGATAGTTCAGTTTTATGTCTAAGGCAATTTTCGGTAATTAAGTCAATTAGGATGCAATCACAGCGTTTACCCGAAGCCGAAAATATAGAAAAGGTAATGTCAAGGGTTAAATTCATCAATTCTAATGAGAATGCATTAGCGAAGTAAAGCACTGCAGTTTTACATAATTTCTGAGTAAGTTATTCGTACGAAATTGAAATATTTCTTGCATTTAGACTTGTGTTCCAAATTAAGATTTAACATGAAATTAATGTAGATAATTACTGAGAGCATTAGATTTTTGTAGAGTAGTTTACGTGACATGAGATCGCTTGGAGTCACGTGATATGAACCGGCGAATCAAGATGTTGAACCATGAAAGCATAGTAAATTCTTAAATTAATGTCTTTTTACAAATTTGTCTTTATTTATTGGCTTTTTATAAAATTTTAAGCGATATTAAAATGTTTATGCCTTCTTTTTTAAAAAGAATTCTTAGAACTAACATTTTTAAAATATTTTTTATGTGTATACTGTATGTTGTCGCCAATAAAGTTTGCTTGGCGAGATTTGCGCCGGCAAAACGGAAAAGTACCAAATATTTTTACCCTAGATATGAATAATTTTTTTTATTATTTATTACTGATTTACTGCTTATTACAATTTCTTAATTTTGTAATAAACCGTTTTAGATTTTTGTTGCTACTGTTTCAAAAATGCGAGATACATAGCATGAAAAGTACTTACTATTCTCGATCCTATAATATGCATATTAATTACCATTATTTCAGGTAGATAAGCTGAGGCTTATATATGTTTAAAGGTTGTAAATTTAAGTCTCCAACATATCAGCCAGGGCAGCATATCTGAATGAATTTTATTTCTTCTCTGTCTTAGAACTTCACTTGTCTCAGTCGCTTGTCGCTTTACTGCAGCATTTTAGCCTAATACAAATATTTAGGTTGCACTAAGGCGCACCAAGTGTGATATTGCACGAAACTCGCTCAACTACTGTAGAGTACGCTCAGAGTAAAGATACCATAATTCATACACTTTCTGCTGAGCTTTGTCTGCCTTTTTTGATAACCATCTTTTTCTTAATGGCCACAGAAACTTTCATTTCATGAAGTCCTGTATCCATTCTTACATATAACTTCATTCATTAATTCTTACTGCTAACTTTATCATTTGTGCTTGTTCAATTTTTTAAATTATTATTTTTAGTATGACTCCTGTTGGGGGGGAAAAAAACAGTTACACATGCAACTGCTTTTAAGTCTTGAGGAGTAAAGAAAGAGATAGAAATTGGAAATTTGGCTGTGGCTAAAGAATTTCAAGTCGATGAGAGATGCATTTCATGGTGGAAATCAGAAGAATTAGGTATAATGCCTAACAATAAAAAGGTCTTGGTAGACTGGCATTAAAGCTCGGCCTGTTTTGGAAGACAATGTAGAGAAATGGGCTAAAGAGCAGAGAGAAAAAAAAAGAGTATCAGTGTCAACAGTTAGAATTTGATTTTGAGCAAGTGTAATCACTCATTAACCCTCAGCTGGAGGGTCTGGCATATGGTACAATTTTAGACGGGCAGTGTATGAAATACTCCAAGTTGTTTTTCAAGCCTTTGCTTCGTGTTTGAAATTATTTAATCTTATACATGGCATTAATAAGGTGATTCGTCATAGTAAAAATTATATAAGAAAAATAATAACAGAAAAAAAAAAAAAGCAGTAAAGCTGGAAATTACGAATTTTTTAATTAATTCAAAAAATGGAATGCACTGGAAATGTAATTTATAGAGTATTCTGTATTATTTTCTGTATGAAAATTATAAGATCATAAATCAAATTTACAAATTATAAATATTCCGTAAAGAAAAGTTCGATAAGTAATAAATTTCACAAATTAAAAAATTAAAAACCTTTTGCTACTTTAATCCTCTTCAGATTGTTCCTTTTCACTGCAGGGTTTTCAAAGTTGTACTGTCCTGCCCAGATAATTTTTGCAGGTAAACTTAGAACACTCAGAACATTTTATAATAGTGTAATTATTATTCATTCTGCTACATTCAGCGCAGCATCCTTTGATCTTTTTCGCAGGTGGTTCCTCGTTCCATTCGGCCATCTTGTCCGCTTCTGTTGTTACCAGGCTTCTAATAATAGCTTCGGAATGCGACAGGAGAAATGGCATTTTCAAAAGATTCTGAAGATGTGGTTTCATCAAAGATGTAGCTAGAGTTTTCAAAAATTATCTTCTAAACTTGATGGTTGCATCAGGTTTGGTGAAGTTCAAGAGCACTTGAGAATTTATGCCCATTACGTTTAGTACTGCAAAAAATAATGCCATTGTCCACCTCTTGGTTTTTCGGCCGACAGTTGAATTACTACAGTGTTGGTCTACGGTGTCAACTCCGCCTTTACATTTGTTATAATCCAGGATTATGTGAGCTTTATTCATTTTCTGGTCAATTTTGTCATCATCGTATAAAATACTGAGCAGTATTACACATTTTTTTTTTTTTTTTTTTTTTTGTTGCATATGAAACAACTGTCATATCCTTTTGAAAACCAAACAGTGAATTGCCAACTTCTCTTGTGTTTGATGGCTGGAATTCATTTGGAATTTCATTTTTATTTATTTATTTTTTTTTTCAGCGTGCCCACAAGCTTTATACCTTTGGTAAGAAGATATTGAGCTAGCGGGTAGCTTGTATACCAATTATTGGTCGTCAGGTTACGGTTGGAACCTTCGTACGCACCAATTAGCTTTTTGACAATGTCAATACTTGAATTTTTGGATGCTGTTAATTACAATTTTTGGATACTTGTTGTTTAGATGCTTGTTTTTGTTTGACTGAAGACAGATAAATTTGTAAATAAGGTAAGTGGATATTTCCCTTGTATAGTGCTAAGATGAATTTCCTTTTTATGTTATTTCATTGTTTGATTTAAAATGTAGTTTACTGAGATTATATATTGGTAAAAGTATAGTTTAGGGTATTCCTTGGCGATACCTGGATACCGATTTTGAGCAATTCTTTGACTCGTTATTTTGGCTTGCGAAGCGGCGACTTTTGCGCCAAAAACCGCCGCTACACAAAGCCAAAATAACAAGACAAACAATTGCACAAACTCAGTATCCATGTATCATCCAAACCACCATCTTCAGCTGCAAAATCATTTGCGGTTTTGCAGCTGAAGATGGTGGTTCGGTAAAACCATCGAAACTAGTCCTGTGAAAATTTTGTAAATATAACGCTGATTTTTGTTGTTTGACTTCTGAATTAGCTAATGAAAACTTTTGACAGCTCATCCAGTCTCACGTGAAATAATTAAATACTTAATATACACTATCTGTTAAACGATAACATTATTTCAGCATAATTTTGGTTGTCACTACTTGAAATCGATGAAATTGAATATAAAATTCAGGAAACACAAACCAAATAATTGTTTTTCCGGCAGTTGTATGTTAATTAGGTAACATTTATACTAGAATGTTCGGTGAACTTCATACAATGACATGTGTGATCATAAAAGCAAAAGAAAATTATATATTACCAATTTTTTTCAAATGTTCTAATCCATCTTGCTGCTTGTCTGCATTCAATAACTTCTCAGATCGACTCAACACTTTCATTGCTCCAGACATTTTATTCGGATTAAAAGCAGTCAAAATATTTCCAAATATGGAACGCGCCGGCTTTTATGTTGCCAGATAAAGGTAACTGTCGTCTGCTAAGTAGAGTTTCTCAAGATTGTTGGGAAAAAAAAAAAATTTGAAGATTTTCATTAAAAGAAATACGACATAAATTTGTGAATATGCTATAATCTATAAAAATCTATAAAAATGCTTGAATATTCACAAAATATCTTGGAGATAATGTTTAATTCAACATATTACTAACAAGTAATTTTAAAATAATACATATTTTTCTACTATTTCTTTAATTTTATTATTTTTACCTGAATTTGCTAAATAAATAAGACTTTGTATATTACGTAATTATAGTAATACTTGTGATACAATATTTGTAAACTTGATATAATGTTTAAATGCAGTAGGTTTTAGGGAATTTCCATGTCATTTTAATTTTATATGAATTTCAAGGTTTGCTATTAATATATATGTATGGTATATTTATTTACTTTTTATTTTAATGAACGTATTCATACATCTTTTATGATTTGGCAACAGTGAAAGTAAACAATCTTAAAATGTGGTTTGTTGCAGAAAGACTTAGCGGGTGCAAAACAAGACATCTGTCTGAAATGTGGTTTGAGCATAAAAGTAACAAGTAAATAAAAAATTGTAGTTATGAAGGTAAAAGAACTGGAAGCGGTTTTACAAAGCCTTGACACTTTTGAAAATCCTAACGTTGAACTTGAGCAGTATGCTACTAGTGCACATATTGCAGGTATCATATATGTAGGTTTATTTTAAGTACAAATTTGAATCACTGCTCATAAAATTGCACTTTAAATTTTTTCATTTGGGTCAATCTCCGTTACGAAAGTAGATAGTTCCTTCCCATTTTTTTTTTTTTTTTTTTTTTTTTTTAGAATTCGATAAATTTCTTGTATGTTATGCTTGTTGATTCTTGTCCTTTATGTACTTTTACTTCCTTCTTTACACTTATCTTCTTTACTTTCGCTGCTTTCACGGTTTGCAAAATTGTGTTTTAGAAGTCCATGCTCAGAAAGGATTTACTGTATTTCACTGCAGCTTATAGTAATGCTTAATTGGTTTGGCGGTTCGAAATTCTTTTCGACATAATTGAAAATTCAAACTTTAATTTTCATGAATTAGCTATAATAATAATAGCATGCATAAAATGATTAGCTGGATCAAAACTTGAGAAAGAGTGCAATTTGCTCTGTTAAAATTGAATTAAAATTTTTCAGAATTTTTCTTCCTTGCCCACTGCTATGTCAACAAAAGAAAAGTAGCATGAATAATATTCCACTTCAAACAAATATCTTGGGGATTTGTTTATTATTTATATAAGTCAAATAGAAAAATACTAATCCCCACAATCACTTAGAGGCAAAAGTGTGAATCAGTGTATTGCCATCAAATATGGTGTGCTTCCTTAGCTATAGCTTGACTACATCATCTGCGACCATGAGGGCAAACACGCATGTGCCATTCAGACCGAATTATTCTCAAAATAGGGTGGAATGGTTGGGACTTTCTTTCTCTCGAGCATATACATTCCCACTTTCTGGAGAAGAAAAGTCTTTCACGTGTCCTTTTTTTTCGCAGGTAGTAATCCTTGGTAAACTCCCCTTTTGGACGACTATGTATTTTAGCAGACTGCCAGCCAAGTTTGCATTTGAGACGGTCGAACTATAACAGGTGTTTGAAAGTTACATCTGGGAATCTCAGTCAGCCGGGGGGGGGGGAGGAAATCCCTTTTACAGCAAACTGTTTTATTTAAAGTATTGTAGTCTCCATTTCTCAGATTTGTAAGAAAAAATAATTGCTAGTTGTCTGGATTTTAGAATTTATACTGTTTGTTATAACTTAGGTCATGAAATTTTATTGTTAATACACACTTGTGTCTGAAAATCAACATCTGTTAATGAAGACATGTAAGAACTTGAGTGAACAGTTTTGTAGTTTCTTTCAAAAAGTTAATCAAAGCTTTTTATGCTATTATTTTTTTCTCATCTCTGATCTGCCAGGTAAATTTAGAATATATTCACTTTCTTAGGGTTTTATAATATAAATTTCAAAAAAAAAAAAAAAAAAAAAAAAAAAAAAATCTTTACTTTTAGTTTATCTACACTTTTAATTTCAACTTCAGTAGAACTGCTGTTTTTGTTTTTGATATGTTTCAAGAATATATGCTACAGAAGCCAACCCACACATGCGCACCTCACACATATGATTCAGCACATGTGAATTTATTTATTATACTTTTCATTTAATTATCATTTTGCTGATCAAACATTTCTTTGCAAGTGCTTTTTGTTTGGTCATTATAAATTGTAATTACACTGTGGAATTTGAAGATAAAGTTGTTTCTCTTCAGAGGTATGGTGTTTCTTTCATAGCAGAGAATGTAAAAAGGTATGGTTCTGTTATCAGGACCGGATTCAGAAATGTATGTATGTATGCATGCATCAGGGCTGTAGAGTCAGGCAGATTTTGGGGTGAAAGGAGTCTGAGCTGGAGTCGCTAAAAACAGCTCGACCTCCGACTCCAGTTTTTGTTGGACAGTTTGAATTTCAAATAAAATTAAAATGAATTGAAAAAATTAATGACAAGCTGAGTTATTATTTTTATTTATGGACTGTATGCATTAATAAATAGTTATTTTCTACTTTATTGACATATTAATAAATAAATATAAGAGTGGAGGATGCATGTGATATATTCCATTAGTGATTAAACTGATTCATTTAGTTACAAATCTCACTGGTAAATTTAGGTAAGCAGCAATAGCAGCAAGAACTCCCAAAATTTATGTCATTCTTAGGAAGCAAGCAGGGAAAGAAGCAATTATTGATTAAGCAATGTGATAAGGAAGTACATATTTTATGAAAAAGAGGTTTTTAGAACTAAGAAGTTTTTTAGAAGATGTAGATAACCCTAATGTTTCACTAATAGAAAGACTGTGAAATGATCTTGCAGAATTGCAGAATTGAAAACTTTTCTTTCTACACCGTATATAGCCACAAAAAAGCTGCAATCTGAAGAATTGACAGGAGGCGAGAATGGAAGAATGGGATGTTTGTTCTTTCTGAAATGGAGGGTTTATTGCAGAAGGAATCATTTCTTCAATGAAGAAAGATAAACTAGTTTGCTAGACAATGAGATCTTATGAGTTCAATATATGTAGATCCGAATCATCAAATTTTCTTGGAGGACAAACAAATTAAAAAGGCAAAGAAAGCCATCTATGAACTGTCATTATGAATGAAATTATTCTCAGAACAATTGCAGAATTTGGATCAGGAGAGTCAAACTGCAGACATTGCAACTGAGTCTCTGTCAACCTCTTTCTTCCATTGATGAATTAGATTTTGAGAAATATTTTTGGATAATATTGAAAAGGCCAAGGCAAAGCGAATGAAAATAAAGAACCAAGAGCCTTTAGATATAAAAATTAAAAAATACAAATAAGATTTCTACACAACCTTTGAAGAAATAGAGAAATATGATTGCACTTGCAAGACACCTCTTTTAGAACTTATAAAAATCTATCCTGAAAAGTTAAAAGAAGTAGCCCTCAACAGTAACAGCTCTTCCTCCTACTCAAAGTTGTGTGGCAAGACTCTTCTCAGCTCTGAAGTTTATCAAACTGGATCTATGGCCCTCCAACAAAGATCTTGCCGAAGCTATACTGTTTCTTAGAAATAAGTAATGCCAGTTTTTCCATTTCATAATAAATGCTAATTAATATATATAATTTCCTATGGCATTTTTTTTTTTTTCGATTTTTTTTTTTTTCTGTAGCATCTATTACTTCTTTTATATTAAAAAAATAAGCTGTAACCCATGTGTGTATGTTTACATATATACATGGTTTTATGTTTACATATATATATGTATGAGGAAGTCGAGTTGGAGTCTTTAAAATTCCAGGAGTCTGAGTCGGTCATTTTCCCTCACTTGCATTTAAGTACGAATGCAAGTGTGTATATACATATGCACATGCATGCACATACATACACACATGCATACATTTCCGAATCTAGTCCTGATAACAGAACACTACCTTTAAAAATTCATTTCTGTAAGAAAAGAACTGAACAATATTACTTTCTAAACTTCTGTTGCTGAATTTATTTGGCAGAAGACCCAGCAAACGAAAGTCCATTTCAAAAAAATTTTGAAGGCTATTGCTAAACAGTATATACCATTCATAAAAATCTAAATATTGACCATTAAATGTATTTTTGCTTTGCCCTGATAGTTGTTAGTGCTCCTGATTACTGTTTTATAGGGCTTGGTTTTGAATCCCAGAGAAGGTGCTGTTTGCAAGTATATGCACAGCATGGAGGCACTCAAAATATACAAGTCAAAAGACTGCATGTGTGGTTTGATGGTTGGAAAAGAAGAGTAGAAGACCTTAGGACCATCTCTTGGGTGTTCTTCATCAAAATTGGGTCAGTGGTTACAGCTAGTATAGCAGAACTACATCTCTATGGCCAATGGTGAAATTCTGGAATCTTGCCACACTTATACCTGTACTTGTTTATTACTGTTTATGAATAGAATAGCTCCTGTGATGTTGGTGATATTGAAACAAGAATTGAATATTTTTTCAATCAAAGAAGAAGTTCTATTCGAAATTAGTTCAAATTAGTTCTGCAAATTTATACAACTCATGATGCTTCTGTATCTCTAACATTTATTTTCTGGCATATTATTTTAAGTAATAGCAGTTCCTGTGAGCTGTAAAGATAGCCAAATATATATATATATATATATATATATATATATCTTGCCAGTTTACAAAGCTGCCTATGAACTGGTAACATTTTGTGGGGATGTGCATGTCAGAAAGTATTGAATTTTCTTGCATTTATCATATCATATATTGTTTGAAGCTTTTGAAAGATATTTTATTAACCTTCTTTTTGTTCATTGTGTAATTTGAATTTTTCTATAACTATATGTTAAAGAAATTTTTTTTTTTTTTTCTTTTTAATTTGTGCATGCTATAGAAACTGGATGCATTATTAGAGCCAGTTCTCTTGTATTCGGCTTGTGAACTTCGTATAGTAAGTGCTGCAGCCAGCAGTCTTAGGAAAGATGATAAATCAGCCAGAGGTTGAAACAAATATCTGTAACCATGCTAATTGTAATCCATATGGTGAGCCTATTAATTACTTTTTTAGAGATCTAACGTGTTAAGTGAGTTTTATGATTGTTTAATTGAATTAAAATTCTGGTGATTAGATGGCCAAGAGAATAGTTAAAATCTTCATGATGCTTCTTAAACCATTCAAGAACTGTGGCATTCTGACATGATACATTACTATATAAGGTATTTTCTCCCTCTTTTCTGCATGCCTTTGTGGAGCAATTGGAAGCACATCCGAAGTTTGGATTCCAGTGAAGGCATTGCATATTTTTCATGTTTTTTGCATTGATATAATCTAATGACTCATGCAAGTAGTGGCCAAATTAAAAATTGGTCGAAGATAATTCATTACCACTAGGATTAGGTGATTGGGTCTCTGCTTCCCCATTTGCTCTTTTTTTTTTTTTTTTTTTTTTTTTTTAAGGGGGAATGTATAAGGTATTTACTCCCTCTTTTCTGCTTGCCTTCATGGTATAACTGGATGCATGTTCTACACTTAATAGGAATTTCCAGAGATTGAATCCCAGTGAGAGCACTAGACATTTTTCCTATTTCCTGCATCTATGTAACCTAATGATTCTACAACTATGCCAGTAAATGCAGTTGCTCTCTGGAAAAATTATTATCCTTTGCAGTATGACAGTCAAGAGATAAATCGTTTGTATTCAGGATGCCTTTTAAAGGTATCTGCAGATGAAGCATGATGTAAAAAAATGCCACAAAATTATAATAGTATTGCTAAATAAATTGATGTCATTGTTTGCCTTGTATAGTTATTAGCATAGGTGCTGTTTGCAGGCATCCGGTTCAAGACTAATGTTTTAAAATTTTAGCTACACAATCAGATTAGCTGATCAATCATGAATGCTTGCCTCAGCCAACCTACTGTTCTGGGTTCAGAGTCACATGGAACTTTACGCTTGGCATATTGCGTTGGCAACGCTGTTCCATTTTTCTGAACTTGGTACAATTCCTGATTGTTTGCTTCATCAACTGTTTTTCAAGTGCATTCTTGTGCTAATAAATGATATGCATATTGTTTTCAAAGTCTGACAAATCATATGTTTTATAACAGCAGCATTTTTTTGCATGTTTATGGTGCATAAATTTGACATATAGTTTGTAATGCATTGTGATATGCAGTGAATGGTTATTTTCAGTCTCATTATCACTGTGGTATAGCTCTTAGGAATATGTACTGAAATGCTAGAATCTAAAAACTGGGCTATTAAAATTGCTCAAATTGATGAAGTATTATTTTATTGTTTAATCTGTGATACTTTTTATCTAATTTTTTCCCAGAGAAATGAGTGGAGAAACAATTTTATCTCCAGTATGCAAGACTGTGTATCGGAAATTCTAAAGATATGCATGCTCTTTTAAATATTTTGTGATATTGCTGTTGAATTGAATTTTATGGTTTAAGTGCAAAGAACATGATGTTAATAAATAAAAGTAACACACAAAACGTTAAAAAAAAAAAAAAAAAAAAAGAAGCCCCTTTGGGTGTTTTATAAAATCTGAAAGCTTTCGAATTTTTTTTTTATTCTTTCTTCATTTTATCTTTCTTATATCTTGCAGCCTCAAACTGAGCCATCACCTAGAATTCCTGAAAACGAACAAGAGCATACTTATTGCAATTTGCAACAAAATAATATTAAGGTATAGAACAAATGCAAGCTGATGGCTGCTTGGGAAGCAAAGCATTACTGCACTGCATGATTCATAGGTGTTTTTACTGTACCAGTAATATAATTTACAATAAATTTGTGTGGAAAAACAATAATTTAAATAATGATAAATGCAATAATAATGTTATTTATATATCATTTCATTTTTGAACCAGAAATGAAAAATGTTATGACATGAAAAAATGATTGTTTGTTTAAACAATAGATGGACATTCTACTGTATTTGTTTAGTATTTTGATTTTTGAAATTTACTATATTAATGATCTGGAGTTGTTTACTTTAGCTAGAATGCTGAATCTGATTACCCTTGATAGAGATATAGAAGGAAAATTTATAGGTGATTTAGGTTGTGGATGTGGAACTTTATCAATTGCTGCAGCTTTAATGGATGCTGGGTATGTTAAGAGTATATGTATTTTATTAACATTTATTTAATTACTTATGGTATGCATGTTTGCAACATGATGTACATGTCTATCAGTTAATTTTTATGCAATCTTACTGAAATAAGAAACAAAAATAATTGTACATAATTAGTATTGATTGTAATATTATAACATCCTTTTGTTACTTATTTAAATTGCATTGTAGTGTTTTATGATGAGCATTTTAGAAATCAATTTATCTTTTCTCTTTACGATGTGAATATCCTATAATTTGCTTTGGCCGAAAAATTTTAGTCTCAGGATAAGTTGACATTTCTTGTGATATTTTGGAAAATTCTACATTAAGTATGCAAGTTTCAAATAGGAAAAAAAAAATTTTTTTAAAGTTTTTAATGTTACAATGTTAATCTGTAGAGGTTAGTATTCTTGGAATTCTGCACAGGTAGAAAAACCACATGTAATGTTACTAAATTGCCATATAAAGCTCAGTGCTTTCTATTCATTAAATATTTGAATAATTTCATTCAAAATGAAAACAAAACAAATAGCTACATGGGATTTGTTAACATATTGATTGGATTTAAAAATAAAAATTAATTCAATAAAAATATTTCAGCTGTTCATAAGTAAAAGAAAATTATTACTGGCAGTTATCTTTCAGTGTCTGCAAAATTCTTCATTGTACTTCCAATAAATTGTGAATGCCTTATTTAAACTTAGTTAATGATGAGAAGGCTGTGTTTTGTTGAAGAAAATGGTTTTATGAAAATATGGATTAAATGAGAGTGTAGGTGTAGATAATTGTAAGTGTTTTATTTTTTAATGTATCACATAACCTGTATTTAATAGTTAAAATTTTTAGTTTAAATTGCTAAAGTATAACTTCTTTTCATATGCCAATAATGTGGTATTTTTCCGTTTCGCCAGCACAAATCTCGCCAACAAATTTTATTGACGACAATATACAGTATACACATAAAAAATTTTAACAAATATTAGTTCTAAGAATTTTTTATTTTGAAGGCATAAACATTTTAACATCGTTTAAAATTTTGTAAAAAGCCAATAAATAAAGACAATAAATTTGTAAAAAGACGTTAATTTAAGAATTTACTACGCTTTCATGGTTCAACATCCTGATGTGCCGGTTCGTATTACGTGACCCCAAGTGATCTCATCTCTTGTAAGCTATGCTGCAAAAAATCTAATTCTTTCAGTAATTATCTACATTAATTTCAAGTTAAATCTTAATTTGAAATACAAGTTTAAATGCAAGAATTATTTCAATTCGTACGAATAGCTTACTCAGAAATTATGTAAAACTGAAGTGCTTTACTTTGCTAGTGCATTCTAATTAGAATTGATGAATTTAACCCTTGATTTTGCCTTTTCTGTATTTTGGTCTTCGAATGAGCAGTGTGATTGCATCCTAATTGACTTAATTACCATGAATGGCCTTAGGACATAAAATTGAACTATCTTGTAAACATTCTGTGTAATTATGTACCAGTATTGAAAGAAACAATCAATCTGATAAGAAATGGCTGCGACTTGGTTTGAAAATAAGGCATAAAAGATTACCATCAAGGATATTTCGTTTGGCATCAGTCATCCATCATTGGCGACTTTATCATCTGCACCGGCAAAACGGAAAAAAACCGATTATGTTTACCGACTTATGATACACATCGATAAGTTTGATAAAAAAAAAAAGCATGAGAACCACCATCTTGCACCCAACAATAAGTAACTTCTATCTTTTCATCTGTAAAATGTTACCAGATTGTGCCAAGGTGGTTGCATTAATATATAAGTACCCAATACAAAATTTCTACTAATCTATTGCTTAAGGGTGCTGCTGCCATACTTACTTAAACAAAATCAGTTGAAATTAAATTTTTCTTTGCATACCCAAATTACCAAAATCAATTCATTGAAAAACTAAAAATCTTCAAGGAAGTTTTCAATATCAGTACTTCATAAAAACAAGGAACTGATTCCTATTTCATGAAAAGACTAATTTCAGAATACTTTCTGTGCTTTTGAGGAAAAGTTGGTACTTACCTATTTTGCTATCACCTTTGAGAGTTGGCAGAGATCCTGCCAAGCTTCCACTAACCATTCTGGCAGAAGTTTGAAATACACTCATGTCCATAAATTAAGGATAATGAAAAATCAGGCAAAGGAAGAGTTAGAAGCAAAACAAATTTGACTTAAAGCTTATTTATTAAACAAAAGGTAAAGAGCAAAAAAAAGATCCTATATGTTTGATATTATTAAAAAAAAATAGCAATTTTTTCTCCCTGGTGCAAATTACAAAAAAAAAAAAAAAAAAAAAAAAAAAAAAACTATTTACAAAAAACCAATATTACATGGTTGGTATGATTGTTAATACATTGTAAGTCTCCCAGACAATGCAATACAGTCTGTACAACGCCTAGGCATGCTGAGTATCAAATTATCGATCTGATCTTGGGTGATATTACACCACTCAAAAAGCAATGGCTCTCCGAAGTTCCGGTAGACATGGAGGAGGAGGTTGATGGGCTGCAACTCGTCGGCCAAGCATATCCCACATGTGCTCTATTGGATTCAAGTCTGGTGAGAAGGCTAGCCAGTCCATACGGGTGATATCATCTGGTTGAAGGCATTCGCCTACGATGTTTGCATGGTGAGGACGGGCGTTGTCATCCATAAACACAAATTGTGCGCCCATGGCGCCCTGAAACAAACGTACATGTTGTTCCAGAAAGACGTCCCAATAGATTAGGCTTGTCATGGTTCCAATTTGAACATGCAGGTCAGTTCTGGAACCCAGAATAATTCCACCACAAACGATCACTCCTGCACCACCGTAATGGTGTCATTCAATGATGTTTTCTTGGTGGTAACGGGTACCTGGAGCTCTCCATATGAAAGTCCGGCGATGATCAGACTGCAAGCTAAACCTGGACTCGTTGGAAAACATCACACAAGCCCACTGTTGTGGTGTCCACAATGCATGCTCTCTACTCCAGGCTAACCGCAGGCGACAGTGAGTTGCAGTAAGTGGAACGTATCTGACAGGTCTACGAGCATATAGACCAATCTTCCCTAAGCATCTGTACACAGTCTGCCTTGAAATTGTCATACCAGTGGCTGAAGAGAGCTGAAGAGACAGGTCTGAGGGTGTGCTCCGCCTGTTTCTTTTGGCAGTAACTGCAAAATACCGTTCCTCATTTGGCATTGTAACTCTGGGGCAACCTGTGCTGTAACGTCTACTCACATTACCATCATCTTGGAATCGTTGCCAAAGCCTGGATATGACACTCTGGGCAATTCCAAGTTCGTCTGATACTTCCAGCTGGGTAGGCCCACATTCCAGACGGCCGATAATTCTACCACGTAAAAAATCATCCAAATGCGTCCTTTGTGTCATAATTATTCAGTTATTGCACTGAAATGCTTATAAAGCACCTGCAAACGATTTTACTTCTTTGCCTGTATTCCTTATATATCACTCTCTTACACTCTTGTCATTGACGTACTGTTGGTGTCATCTGGTTACTTCTTGAAATTTGCATATGATTCTTGAAGATGTGTGTAGTGATTTTACAGGTGATATATATATTATTACAGGTGATATATTTATTTTAGTTCAATTTCCGCGTGACTCCGAATTATCCTTAATTTATGGGCATGAGTGTAGATCACTCTTTTTTCAACTAGGTAATTAACAGATACAGCAAATAAAAAAAAAATCTGAATAAATATGAGCTCAGGCTTTAAAATATTCTGATGAACAAATTCATTAAAATTAGCATTAATCATTTTAAGAGCCAAAATTCATAATAGGCTTTAAAAAGGCAACTGAACTGTCACTTTCTTTGTAAACTCAGTGAGTATATAAATTTGCTTGAAACCAAATCTTGTGGTGTTGCATGGTTTCATAGTATATTTTCATTGTGACATTTTGCAAACCTCACAGCATTTCAGAACTGGTTATATTGGTTATGCATATGCATAACCGATATAGCCAGTTCGATAACTTAGAAAATATTTTACACCTTGCTGATTTGTAGAAGGCTGGTCTACCTTCTCTCTTGGGAATCTTTGTGTGGTTTCACCCTTTGTGTGAAATTTCTCCTTAGGACAGGATTGCAAGTGCAAGCATCAATAGCTAAAAGTTGACTCTAAATAAAGGAGAAGGAAGGTACATTCATAATGGAACTACTTTTAGTCACTTCAAAAGAAAGATTGGCAAGTCATTTAACAGCTCCCAAAACCAATGAACCATGCATCAATGTGTTGGGAGAAAGCACCAGGTAGAAAATGAATGGAGGCCTTTGGGCAACCTTCCGATGTCTGAATGCTCGGGCATTTTGGGTGACTTCGCCGAGAAAGAGTGAAAAATATCTGCTGATTTTTTTATAATATTGCAGGCTGAGGTATAAAAAAATTTCAGCTCTGTTTAGCTTCATCTGAAAAGCTGTTACTTGTGAAACAAATTATTTTCTTGCATGATCTCTAGTAGATAACCGCATATATAAATTGAAGGCATTTATGTGGTAGCCTGTTAAGCATAAAAGTTGGCGAAGATCAGGGCAAAGTTGCGCCTGTTGTTCATGCAGAATTCTGAAGAAACTGATGCCTCTTTATTTAATAGACAATTAATATTCAACTTCTGTTGTAAAAAGGCATTAGTTGGTTTCTACTATTTTGTTAGGCTCTCTGATTTTACTGGAAGCTGTGTTTAGAATGCTTTAAGTTTTTTACAGTTAACTATTACTGTTTTGTCAGCCATGTTAAGCTATTCTTTTTCCTATTCAATGGATGTAATTCTCTCAACCAGTTGTAAATGAGTGCAGTCCCAAATGTGTTTTTACAACCCTGGAATCACATTTTTTTTCAAATGGGTATTCTGTTGTCACAATTTTTTCATGTTGCATCACCTCCATTGCTTATTCATTTTCCAAATAAAGTACCATATAATTTTTTTTTTTTTTTTTTTTTTTTTTTTTTTTTTTTATGGTAGGATAACTTAAAAAATAATTCACTGCTTGCTATTCTGTAGAAGGCAGGCCAAATTTTTGTCATTCTCTCAAAATGCAATAAAAAATGCAGCAGAAAATAGTTAATTTAGATCTCTGTTCATAAAAACAAAAAATGGCTTTTTAAGAATTAGTTGGGGTTACATCAGATGAAAAAGAATTTTTTATGAGTGTTTATTTCATCAGTTTATGAGTGACACACTGCTTCGCAACAGTTTCTCAATCAGTGAGATAATACATAAGTACCAAGTTAATAGTAAGTTGTTCATTAATAGTGTTACAGTCTTTGTTAATCTGATGAATTACTTTTACTTAATAGTGGCCATCTAATATGTGATTATAAATAATGAAAAATGTTTAAAGAAACATAATTTTTTTAAATGATCAATGTCATTTGTTTTAGAAATAGGTAATTTCAAAATATGACGCACAGTAGCTAGCGCATCGCACAGCAGCACCACAGGTCCAGGGTTCGATCCTTAGGCTGGGCAAGGTTTACTCAGCCTTTCACCCCGTGAGAGGGTGATGTGATATATTATATTAAAATCATTGTATGCTCACTCTTCTATATGCTGATTCATATCTCACTATTGATTTTATAATTTCAGCTTTTGTGTTGGTTTTGATATTGATGAAAATGCTTTAAACAAATGCAAGTCAAATAAAGAAAAAGCTGAATGTGACAATATTGATTTTATTCAATGCAATGTTTTGGATTTACAAGATACAAGGTGGCAAAAAAAGTTTGATACAATCATCATGAATCCTCCATTTGGAACACGAGGCAATGAAGGCAAGTTCTGTAATTATTATATATTTATTTAAGACTCTAATCATCTTTAATTATATATGTATGCATATTTTTCTTTTATTATTTTGTATTCCTTTTTTTGTACAGGCTTTCTTTGTGTATGCAACATATTAAAAAAATCAAGTATTGTCAAAAACTAAGCAATTGAATGTGAATTCTCCCCCCCCCCTTTATTTTTTTTAAGGCTTTCAAAATAATTTTGGTTTTGAGAAACTTAAATGCTATATCATTTATCCCTAAAGAAAAGTGTGAAAGCTAAGTTTGATACTATATCTATACCAGACTATAGTTATGTTAGGAAAAACATGTATTTAAATGCATAAAATATGCCAAAACAAATCAAAAGAATGGGTATGCTTTAAATTATGAGTTTTCATTATAAACAGGAGTCAAACAATCAAAAATCAGGCTATGGAATACACAGTTTCCTGAAATTCATTTTTTATAGGTCAGTTTAAGTTTTTTCTTTTTATGCTTTAAGATTTATGCAAGTAGACAATATATAGCTGCCATGTCCTCCGGTTTTTCTTCACATCTTCTGGCAATGTTGCCAGGAATTTTTTAACTAAAGTAGCATGTGATTTCAAGATCATGTGATATTTTGTGACGTCATTGGTATACAAGCTCACATACCTTGGATGTCAACACAAATTCAGTGTCCATGGATTCTGTAATTTATGACCTGTCATTTTATTATGTATATGAGTAGCTTACAACCTGAAATTCAATTCTTGGTCATTTTATTATGCATGTAAGTTTTAATGAAAATCTTAAAACTTTACATTGTTTAAAACCTTTATCTCTACTTTTAATTATTTTTCAGTTACTTTAGGTTATTTTTAGCTCAAAATGAACTATTAGTCTGAAAACAAGATTTGTGTTTCGCATTTTGTTCAAGTCTATTGGTATTCGGCAAAATGTAAGATACTTATCTTTCTAATTAAATCTGTCTGCTTTGGATTAACAATCATTAGTTAACGCACCAGCTGTAATCTGAATTAAACTTTGCAAGCCTACTCAAAATCACTAAAATATTAACAAAAAGGCAGTCAAACACATGAAAATGCAGGCAGGTGATGCACTGAAAACTGAATGCACATGCACTCATGCACTACAATCACAACATTGTCAGTTGTCAATTTTTTATTTAAGTTTATATGAATTATTTCTTTTATTATAAATTAATTTTAATAGATACATTATTTTAACATATGCTCATTTTAAGATACATTCTTAACGTAACAGGAATTAGCACGAGAAAATTAGCAAAGAATTATTTTTAATCTATACTAAGGAAAAATGTTTCCTAGCAATAAATAATATTTATTAAATTAATAAAATTAAAATAGTGCAAATGCCATTTTCAACCCCTACTGATTTTAAACAAAACTCTTCTTTAATTTAGAAGTCAAACAACAAAAATCGGCTTTATATTTTAAAATTTTCACAGGACTAGTTTCGATGGTTTTACCGAACCATCATCCTCAGCTGCAAAATCGCAAATGAGCAAGATAAGATATATTGATTAGATAAGATAAGAAAGACTTAACAGGAGTTAAGCTACTGCCGCCATGTGTTGATGAAACGAGAAATAAAACATATTTTCTTTAAAGGCTGAAGGCAAAGATGGATTGGAATTAGGGTCGTTAACTAGTCCAGAAAGTTTTTTTTTTTAATGTGAAATGCCTCTAGAAAACTCAGTTCACCAATGGAAGATGTTTTTTTGAATAATTTTGGCAGCAGAAAGATTGAAAGTGTGATTTTCGGACCAACAATGTTGAGCAACAGAAGAATTTCTGTGTTTCCTTTTTGCTAACATATGCCTCATGTTCCTTAATGCAAAATTTTAAGGCACTCTTAGTTTGACCAATGTAAATTAAACCACACTGGCAAGGAATCCTGTAAATACCCCAGGAATTCATATCCGGAATGGGGTCCTTGAGTATGGAACTCGGAATTTTATTCATGGGAGACTAAACGATCTGGAAGTTAAATTTCTGTAAAATATGTGCATCTTTATAGCTTATTGATGGAAAGAAGGGAATGACAGCAGAATTCTTATAATCTCTTAAAACGAGAGTGTGCCTATTGGTGTGTTGAGATGAGAATTTTTTAACTGCTTGATTAATAAGGTGGGCTGAAAAAAAAACCTGTTAGTAGCTGCTGCTTTTAAATAATTTAGTTCTTCATCGAAAGACAGTTTGCAGGAGCACAGAAAGCATAGGAATAAAATGAAGCTAACTTTTGTTTAGTCGTATAACATGATTTGAAGTGTGGTGGAAGGCAAACCGATGAAGGTTTACAGTTATCGGACTATTCCGTGTTAAGAAATGTGAGGCACATGTTAGAAAAAAGGAAACACGGAAGTCTTCTGTTGCCCGGCATAGTTGGTCCAAAAATCACACTTTCAATTTTTCTCAAGCCAAAATTACTCAAAAAACATCTTCCATTGGTAAATTAGATTTCTTAGAGGCACTTCACATTAATAGAAATCTTGCTGTTCTAGTTAATGACCCTAATTCCAATCCATCTTTGCCTTCAGCCTTTAAAGAAATTATGTTTTAGTTCTTGTTTCATCAAGAGATAGTGCCAGTAGCTTAACTCCTGTTCAGTCTTTCTTATCTTATCTTATCACTATATCTTTTCTTGTTCATTTGCGTTTTTGCAGCTGAGGGTGATGGTTCGGTAAAATCATCGAAACTAGTCCTGTGAAATTTTTTAAATATAACGCTGATTTTTGTTGTTTGACTTCTAAATTAATACTTGTTTGGCATGTTATTTATCTTAATTATAACTTTTCTTATTAAATTTTATTTCATTTGAATTGTCTTAACCTAATCTAGTTTTTATAGAACTTTTTATGATGATTCAAGTAATGTTTGATTAGTTAAAATTTGCATTTAATTTTTTTATATCAGCATATGGTAGATTATTGAATTTATGTACATATTTAAAAGTACTTTAATAAATAAAAGCTCTGCTCAGGATTTTCTCAGTATAGAAGTTTAAGAAAATCTGAAAATTAAATTAGCCAAAGATCATAAAATTTTAGAATATCTAATTAAATTTTAAAACATTTTACATCAGAATCATATTATAAATGGTTCAGAGTTGTGCATTATTACTAGAGAAGTTACCGAGATGAACCCAGACAGTCTAGGATTTTTAATTACTTCCAGAACTATGTCTGGGATATAAAAGCATTTTGCATAAGTCCGAGATTTTGCAATAAAGATGATTGTCTGTTCAGTCAGTCAGTTTCATCAACAATTGTATCAGTTCTAGTAGAAAGGATTTTCTTAACCTGAACAATATTCAGTCACCAGAAAAAGTCCTGATTACAGTTGACAACTGAAGGAACTTTTAACCATTAAAGAACTTTTGAGTGGAATATTAAGAAATGGTAAGGAATTAATTTTTTTTAAATGTTAAGAAACATTTAAATAAAAAATTGAATTAAAAATATTTATGTAGTGAATTTTATGAATGTATAAAATCTAACAAAAATTGCTAAGGGAAATATTAAAAATATGCAAGAGTGGAAAAGGAACAAGATTTTTAGCTATCTTTGTCATTTTTTCAGTAGACATGTTATAAAAAATAATGCAGTCTTACATATTTTGTTGTTATTACTGTAAGATTTCCCTTCATTCTTTCATGCCAGTTTTTATTGGTTGTACGAGCTACATGTAGGCTTTCTTTGTGTAGCACACATGTAGGCTTTCTATTCATTGAAATTAATTTTTCATAAAGTGTCCTGAACATGGGCATGTACAGAAAGTTTTCAAGAGAAAAACATTGGGAATGATTTTTCCATTTTGGGGTTTACAAATAAATTATAGAATGCAACATTGCATCAATAAAGAAAAACGTGCAATACTTAAACTTTACATGCATCAGTACAAAAATTTTACTTGATTCTTGTATAATCATGTACCCCATTCCTTTGTTTGGAAAAGATCTGCAGTCCTGGGTTCCCATTCCTAAAATATGGTAACCCTAATTATAAATTTAACTTGACTTGGTGTTCTATTGAAATAGAAGTGGTGCATAGCAAGAAAACCTCCCAGGAACTTGTGGTTTTTGTGTGGGAACATCTTTGTCTGGTATAAAGGTCGAAAGGTAAGACTATATTGTTATCATTTTAAAATAAAAAGGCGGGAGTTGTACAAGCATTTCATTAAAAAAAATAAAATTATATCTCTGTTTTAAAAAAACAAAGTTATCAGAAAGATTATTTTGTATATGGAGATATTTGATTGATGTACTGCAAACATACACATTTTATCAGACAAATCAAGAAAATAAATAATTAATTATATTCGAATAAATATTAATTTAAAATATATTTTTTAGAAATTGATTAAAATAAAAACTGAAGTTTTCTGGAAAATTTTGTTTGGAGATAATTTGGTGCCCCTCTGGGAGCAGCGCTTAGGGCATCATATAGACCCCCTTGCCCCCACTCGCTACGCCACTGGCATGTAAAATAAGTAAGTGTGGTAGTAAAATAATGTCAGAATATTAGGACATAACAATTAAGATAATTTATTGTGCTCTGAAATTCAGAAGGCTTTGAAAAGAGTCCAAGGGCCAAAATGAACATTTTGTGATGAATACGCAAAAGTGAAAAAAATGCAATTATTGTTTGCAGGCATTCCGCTATAAGATGTCAATATAGCCACCATGGGGGTCTATGCAAGATTTCACACATCATGTCATGCTTTATATAACATTATCCATCACCTGCTGGGAAATTTATTCCATTCCTCTGTCAATGAACAGATGGGGGTGTTCTTGTTTATTGGAGGACATTGTCAACCAACAAGACTTCTCTCCAAAGCATCCCAAACATTTGCAGTGGGATTCAGATCTGGAGAATGTGCTGGCTATACGAGGTATTGAATATCCTCGCTCTCTAGACACTCTGAGGCAGTGACTGTTCGACAACATGTTTTGTTGTCATCCATGAAAACCAATTT